TTCTATAGACTCCTGTAAACCCAGGTGGAGATCTGGTTGTCCAGCAGTGTGGCAAGACCTGAGGATCATTGGACCTAGAGACAGTGATATCCAGAGAGGACTAGAGTGGACAGTGAAGCGTTCAGCTGATGAGAGGGCATATGCACAAGAACACCCACAGTTGCAGATAATACCTACTTGACCTGGCTTCATGACTGGATGATCAAAACTCATCTAGAAGAATTAAGAGGAAAAAAGAATAATCTGATACAATTTGATGAACGTCATCTATAATCTTTGGGACACAGCGAAAGCTGTGTGTTTACAGAGGTAAATAATGATGTATGCACAAACTAGAACAACAGGGCTCTGGGATACAGAGATTGAGATATGGTTGGGATAGGGGAAATGGAGGTATAATGTTAAAATGCTCGGCTGTCTTTTGAATCGTGGTTTTCCTTGCATTGTATTATAAAATAGATGCTGGAGGGGGAGAGAAAGGAATAGCCAGAAATATCACCATAGAAATCTTTTAAGTCTTCTGCCTATAACTGATTGGAATACATAAAATGGGGCTACAACGTGCCCAGTGAAAGAGGCTTCCTGCCGAGCCTCAGCATTACATAAGACTATAGGTGGAAGCCTGAACCACATCCAGATCTTCAGAGATGGGAAATTTCCACTTGAAAGGACGAGCAGACCACCTGGAATGGCTAGAAGAACAGAAGACACTTCTTGAAAGAAAGACCTACAGGAAAAATACAAAACAATAGAGGCAGACTGACTGTTACTACAAGAACAAGCAAGTTGCTCCCCCAGGTGACATCAAGACAATTGGTCGGGTCCCCTCAGTGCAAACCCCCTTACAAGAGTAGGACTCAATGGGAATACGAGCTCTGATTGGTGACCACGTTCATCACTGATAAGGAGAAGTGAGGGAAAAACAGCCATGAAGCTGCAAGCTAAGCCCTACAACATTCAATAGACTCCTGTGAACCCGGCTGGAGACCTGGTTGGCCAGCAGTGTGGCAAAACCTGGAGATTCTTGGGCCCAGAGTCCGTGACAAAGCCACAGAGGACTAGAGTGGAG